AGGCCCTGAGTTCAATTCCTCAGCACCACATAAGCAGAAAAAGCTGGAAGTGGTGCTGTCGCTCAAGTGGTAGAGTGCTAGCCTTGAGCTGAAGAGCTGAGGGACAGTGCCCGGGCCCAGAGTTCAGGCCCCACAACCAACAACAACAACAAAAAAACCTAGTTAAAGGATTATGAAGTGGGAAGTAAGTAACCAAGTTTTATCATTAGTTCTTATGTCATGACAAAGTCCTTGTGCCTTTCTAAACTCGAGTTTTCATGTATAAATGTGATTATCGCATTATTTTTTAAAGTTCCTCCTAAGTAAAATGATGTACATTTCAATATTTGAGTTCTGTCTTTCTAACAAATCTAGTACTTATCCATTAGTAATTTTAGCAGATGATTAACTATAAAAGAAGAAAAATTAAAATAAACTTAGTTTTTATTTATCCAACATCTACTTTTTTAGATAAGCCAGTTTGATTAGGATTTTTATTATAAACTTTGGAGATTTTAATTTTTAACTCAAGCACATTCGGGTATTATTAATACATTTTATATAGCTTTAGGAAAGTTGTATGTAAATCGTAAAAAAACAAAAACAAAAAAAAAAAATAGCCAGGTGTTGGTGGCTTACGTCTATAAATCCAAGCTACTCAAGAAGCTGGGATCTGAAAATCACAGTTCTAAGCCAGCTTGGGCAAAAAAGTCTGGTATGCTCTTATCTCCAGCTAACCAGAAAAAAGCTATACGTGGAATGCTAACTCAAGTGGTAGAGTACCAACTTTGACAGAAAAGCCAAGCAAGTGCATGAGGCCCTGAGTTGAAGATCTAGTACTGGTACACATTCACAAGCACACACACATATATTAAAAACACTGGTATACATACACCCTAACACCAAAAATGCTAGCTAAAGAAATCCTATGGTGATTTCTTTTGTAAAATACTTAAAATTAGCCAGGTGCCCATGCCTATAAATCTAGCTAAGGAATGCCGTTTAAAGCCAGTGTGATAAGAAAAGCCTGTAAGACTCTTACATCCAGTTAACTACCAAAGAGCCAAAAGTAGAGCTGTGGCTCAAGTGAAACAGTACTAGCCTTAAGCAGAAAGCTCAGGGACAGTGCCCAGACCTTGAGTTTAAGCCCCAGGATTAGAAAACAACAACAACCAAAACTGATTTTTTCTTTTCTTACAAATATTAAGGCTTAGGTATTGGGTTGTCCCAAAGGTAAAGCACTTTACTGAACAATGCTTACTTGGCTGTTAGTTGGAAAAAAATGCATTTATTGGATAATGGTTTTCTCTGATTGTGAGAATTTGATGGATTAAGGGCAAGGAAGAACTCAGCAAATGCTGCATTTTTAACTGACATTTACCCAGCAGGCTCAGATGCCTCAAAAACTTTATAATACTGGGAATTTTCTCTTTCAGTACCTACATGTTAGAAAATAAGTTAGACCAGCCCATTTAAAAGCAGTCTGCATTTTCCCTGCTTCCATACAGCCTGATTTTACATGGGTTGATATAAGCTCTTCAGCTTGTAAATGCAAACATAGCGGATTGATCTTAAGAGAAAATATTACTATCCCTTTGTCATCAGTTTAAGAGATCTTCACCTGAGGATTAAAGGTATAAACCACTACATATTTTTGTCATTAGTGACTTGTAGGCCTTTATATTTTGGCATTCAAATTGGGGAAAGAATCTTGACTCTTGAAATACTGCAGAAAATAGTTTGAAATATCTTCTTCTCAAGATAATATTGAGTAACGTGGTAGACTCTTTTCATTCAGTCTTAGAACTGTTTGTGTGCATAAATATGTATTAAGGCATTTTCTTAAATGTACTTATTAAATATCTCAAGTTTCTGGCTATATCCCTCAGAACATCTTGAGTAATTTCTAAGACTGAAATTAATAAATGTAGCTATTGCTCATCTCAGGTTTTCAAAGGGAACAATTAATCTAAGATTTGGTATTTTAACACAGGAGACTTTTTCTTGTTTTAGTTCGGTTTTGTGGTGTCAAAGAATCATGAGACCATCACTCAGTAACTGAAATAAAAAGGCAAAGCATACTAATGATTTCCAATGACAATCACTTGCTGTATTGTACATGTGTAATATAATTTCCATGTTGCTTAGGCACTGCATTTTGGGAGGGGGGACGCCAGTCCTGGGGCTTGAATTCAGGGCCTAGGCAACTGTCCTGGAGCTTTTTTGCTCAAGGGTAGCACTTTCTCACTTGAGCCACAGCTCTACTTATGCCTTTCTCTCTCTCCTGCCAGGGCTGGCTTACAAACTGTGATCCGCAGATCTCAGCTTCCAGAGAAGCTAGGTTATTAACCTGAGCTACCAGCATCTGGCTGGCACTGCATTTTTAAGAAGGAAAATCCTTTTTCATCACACAGGTGCTGGTAGGTCACATTTGTAATCCTAGCTATTTAGATGGCTGAGCTCTGAGGATTGTGGCTCAAAGCCAGCCCAGGCAGAAAAGTTTGTGAGACTCTTATCTCCAGTAAACTACTGAGAAAAGGCTAAGTAGTGCTATGGCTTAAGTGGTAGAGTTCTATCCTTAAGCAAAAGAAGCTCAAGGACATTGCTCAGGCCCTGAGTTCAA